GGAATATAACGAATATTCCAAAACAAAAGTACAAACCTAAAACTAAGTTTCAAACATAGTCCATGTACAAAATAAATAAATTCGTACAACGTTGCTCAATGTGACCTAAAAAAATAAAATAAAAAATAAAGCCAAACCATAACTCTTTTAAGCACTTTTTAACTTTTCAAAATTTTGTGGTGTTGAAAATTGGCTTCCGTGCAGTTTATAAGCCTTGATATCCAACCTTGGTAAGAGAACACACTAACTTGTAGTTTACCCATAGAAAAGATTTTGCCTATATAGACCCCAACAACAACTCCTTAGACATCATACTTGTCCCAAACACCTTTATATTCTTCTAGTACCAAAGAAACCAAGCAACAACCAAAAAATGAGTGTTGCTAAATCTTTCATTCGTTCACCACTTATGCCATGCACCACATAATGCTCCACCAACCCAAAGATATCATTTGGCAAGACACTTTACAAGCCCCACCACCCCAAAACTTTCATCCGCGCTAACCACATCCTTTTACCCTCACAAAAGATATGATGAAGCTACTCCACTCCCTCATTACCTAATCCACAACCAACCTCCCCGCCTAACAAAACAAACCCTCTTTTGCATAAATTCTCCTTTGTTGGCAACCTATTCAAAAATAATCTCCACTAAAAAACACTCAATTTAGAGGGAACATACTTACACCAAATAATCCTACACCATTTCTTATCGAGAATACAATTTTTAGGTGTTAAAAAGTTATAGGTAGTCTTCACAAAATATAAACCATCACTACTATCAAGCCATCTCCAAGAATCCAAGTTAGCGATCCCTATCTTTACCATTTAATCAACTCCCTAATCCACTCTTCCTCACCACTAGCCCCTCTTGCACATTCTTGCCTCCATATACAATCCTATACCCAATTCGCACTACTGCAAAAACCCATATCCTTCACCAACTCCTCCTTTTTCGTTGTAAATGCGAACAGCCTCATAAGTAAATTTTTTAAAGGTTTATCACCCACCTTATCACCACAAAAGTCCACACAACTTCCATCCCCAACCTCCCATTTAAAGCCCTTAATTAACATTAAACCCAACCTTTTTGACCCTTTACCAACACTCATGATATCCTTTCACATTTGAGACATATTCAAAGATCCAAATGAAATAATATCCACCTCCTTCCTACCCCCATCATAATTCTCCCAAATCACTCTCTTCCATAAACCCTTTATCCCATCACCTAATCTAAACCACCATTTACCCAAGAAAGCCCAATTACTCCTCTCTAACTCGGCCACCCCAATCCCCCTCTCCTTTTCCATACAAATATAATCCCAACTGACCCATGCAATCTTCTTCTCCAAGTTTGCCCCAACCCAAAAAAAATTCCTCTGAATTTTAATCATCTCAACAAGTACATATTTAGAAATTTTAAATAAAGACATAAAAAAAATACTATTAGAATGTTAAAGGATTAAAAAACTTACAGATGTGGTTACATGCTAGCATTGTCAAACTAAGCCGCACTTACATTATCTAACTACAAGGCTATGGAACCTAAATGGTTCATTTAGAAAAAGAAGGCATGTGTTAACCCAACTCACAATGCAAGATCAAAGGATCATACAACCCATAAAGGCCTAACAAGAATAATAGACTTTTAACAAGTACATTAATTAAGATGCTTCAATCAATAATTCAAAACAAGTAGAACTATAGTCAATATAAAAAGGAAAATTAATCTCTTCAATCTTCTCTAGTTGTCCTAAAAATTCAATTTGATATAAATTAACTTGATAATTTTACTTATATAGCAAACTAATGATAATTAAAAAGTTTTTTTGATCTTTATATGTAAAGTTATTATTATTATTTGAATAAGGGCAATTTAGGGGTAGGAGAAAGGGATTGAACCCAGCCCCATACACACCTTTAACCAATCAACCTAAAGGCCAAGTGTGTCTATTTATAAAATTATTTAGTCGAACTTTATACAAAAATCAAATTAAGACAATTAAATCAAATATAAGAGTTCCATAATTAAGGAAAAAGCTATACTCACAACACACAATGTTTATTATATAGTATATTGTATACAACAAGACATGATAGTGATGTGATATGTATAATTAATTCCTTTTATTTAAGTATCAATTTGTAATATTATATATATTTACTTATTTAATGTTATACCATGTTATGTAATGCACAAGATAACGTGACATATCGATCCTCACGTCTTGGCTTAATGGTCATGACCCTTTGTCAAGTGAGGATCCCCTCCCATGGGATATGTCTTCAAACTCCATGGATGACATTTTTCCCTCCTCCAAATTAC